TTATTATTATTATCATTGCTGATGGCTGATGGGAACGAAGAAATTTAGGGGGTTCTTATCAGCGATCTGTGGTATTCTCTCCCCATCTCCTTTCCTATAGGTGGGCGTACTGTTTACATTCCCAAAAATCAACTTTTGAGCCATAAATGATTGGACTTAAGAAATATAAAGAAGTCATAACTGTTGATAATATCTATCAATTTGAGAGCAGTTGCTTCATTAGTTCAGGAGATACAATAAATTAAAGTTGCTAAATTTTGCAGTAAATGTTTGTCCGGCAACATCTTGCCAACCAACATACATTTACTGTCATATTTCACAATGTTAACTTGAAAACCAACAAAAGATTTGTACTCAAATTCTCAGATATCTTCCAAAGCGATAGGATCTTGCCACTTTTGACATTTGTTTGTTTGTTTATTGCTTGAATTTCCAAGAATTTCATGTTCTTGATCAAAACAAATTACGTCATCGTACGCCCACCTATAGCGCATATTCTAATTGACAGCCAATTGTTGTGCGAGTTGCGCGCGAGTCCAATTCATAGCCACATCAAGTGATTCATATATATTTACTTTTCTGATATTCAGTCTTAGTTTACGATGGCTGACAATAGCACAGACGTTCACGGCTTGACAGCGATTAAGATAGTCTTCAGTGTGTCACTGTGTGTCATAGCAGTTATAAACTTCATTGGAAATTCTCTAGTCATCCATATAATTCGCACCAATAAATTGACAAAACAACCTATGAACTACCTTCTGGTCCACCTTGCTCTGGCTGACATCATGGTTGGCACTTTCATCCCATCGCGGTTTATTTTCACTTATTTTGTTTCTCATCCTGAAGGCACGACAGGAGCGGTCATTTGCAGGATGTTTACAGGAGGTCCACCAGCATGGATTGCAGGCCTTGCTTCCATTTTCTTTCTCGTTGACATCTCTATTGAACGTTACCTTGCCGTTATACATCCGTTTTCCAGGAAGTGGAGAATTAAATGGATTAAGGTCAAGTACATAGCCATTATTGCCTGGATTTTTGCTCTGGTGTTTAATTGTCCGTATTTCTTTCTCATAAACTTCGTTAAAGAGGAAAACTTCTGCTATGAAAGATGGCCTGTAGAACGTTTATGGCTACCTCAGGCATACTCTACTCTTTGGTTGTTGTTTGGCGCGCTTTTCCCGGCCATTATCATGATATGTCTTTACAGCAGAGTTATTTTCACTCTCTGGATCAAACCCGGAAGTGTCCAGTTTTCACAAGTTGGCGTGCTGAAGTTCAGAAGAAGAGCAACCAAGATGGTTGTCATTGTCAGCCTTATATACTGTGTGTGTTGGATTCCTAACCTTACATTGTATTTTCTATATTATATCGGTGTCAACTACGACTTTTCTGACCATCATTTTATCATCAGTAACATTCTTATAACGTGTAACTCCGCTGTCAATCCTTTTATTTATGGGTTTCAGAGCAAAAAGTTTCGGGATGAGTTGAGGAAGCTTGTCGGATGCAAGAACCGTGTTCACTCCATGAGCACGAACCCTCAGTTTCTTTCAGGAAAGAATTCTAAATATATTTTCACGGTAGATATCAATAAAAATGTTAAATGAAGATAAGGGATAGCACCTGCTCACGACTCTCTATAAGCTATCGACACGCTACTAATGTCGTCCCACAATACCACGCACGACGAGGTCGTTACCAGCCTTTTCTCCTTTAAACTTTGAAAAGACAAAGTGCTCAGATTTCTTCAGTGTTACAAACTCTTTATAAATTGCTAGTCAAATAAACTTCGTTTATATTACATAACGACATATGGCATCGTTTTCTCTCCAAGAAAAACCATGCGCAATTTGACCAGGAACGAGCCCGCGATGTGGCTAGTCAGAGGGTAAGCGCGCAACACGCTGCTTTTGGTATATCAACCAGAAAAGACTAAATGCTTCAAGTTTTTACTTAATTGCGCTCTTTTTCAGTATCAGTTTTTTCATTGGAAAAAAAGAAAAATGATAAGATGAAATTTTAGAAAGGTTATCCACAGGGAGCCCCATTTAGATTAAAGTGAATGGTGAAAATAAAATTGGAAAAATTAAAAAGCTATTTATTTTTTAAATTCGAGATCAAGATAATGTCCTCCGTAATGCGAAAGATGCCTTCTATTTCCTTTTTTTCCTTTTTTTGAAAGAATCACCTGTGTATTTATACTAAAACAATCATTTGCCTCAGACTCAGTGATTATTGGGGAATATTTACCGAGACGCGAGTCTTTCCCGATAATCACTTCGCCTTTGGCGAATAATTGTTATTACGGAGGACATTATCCTGATCTCGAATTTTAAAAATTATTAATTTTTTAATTTTTCCGATTTTATTTTCACAATTCACTTTTAACTAAATTGGGCTCCCTGTGGGTTATCCAACGTCTTTTCAAAATAATCATAAGCATGAAAAAGTGCATTAATACCTATTTCAAAAAAAGTCGGTTGGGTATCTGAAATCCGGGAAATCTGCGACCGAGTGGAATTGTGGGGGACAGTGTTTTCTCGTTAAAAATTAAAAATGCACTTAGCCAGACTTATTGGAAAGGGCAGGCCAAAAAAATTAAACTTAACATATTTACAGGACCCTATTAAATTTAAACTAGCCCTAGGCTAACCTGGATGTTCTTGTTGAAACATAAAAAAAAATTAATATTTATATAACACTATAATTCGCCAAAGGCGAAGTGATTATCGGTGCAATATTTACCGAGTCATGAGTCCGCTTCGAGCGGCGAGCTAAACATCACCATAATCACTGAGGTGAATAATTGCTTTAGTATAATTTTAGACTTGAATATCAGAGAAAAGTCGAAATTCAGGATGAAAAAAACAACTTTTTAGTATTACATCAGATCTAAAAAACTTTGGAAAACCTCATAATCATCGCTCCAGCGAAGATTATCGTCTCATAATCACCGGTCGCTCGACCAATCACATCTCGAGAAACTCTATATTCAAGTCTAAAATTAAGCTAAAAATGAATAACTTGATGTCCTCCGACCGACGTTTTTGAAATTAGTGCATATAACTTCTGATATTATATTTATTCAATATGACTCTTACCTTTTTCGAATACGGATTACCTTCTACATTTATCTTGTATTTGAAGTTGATTACGTAATATTAAATAACCGTTATAAATATCGTTTTTTTAATCGGTTGAGGAGCGTTAGTTTAAGTTATGCTCTTATAAATTATAGTTATTAAAGTGTATATCAGGTCTAGAATTTTTTTACGGTTTTG